AATAAATTACAGTCAAGAATTAAATGGTTCTTTTACAGCATTTAAGGTTTACTGTGCTGTATAAGCAGAAGAAGGTTTCAGTTGTGAAACTGCTAAATGCCTAGTATTTTATTAAAAAAAAAAAGTTTTATGCAGCAAGGAATAAATAGGCAAGCAATTAATATTCATAGAATTCCTAAACATACATTCATTTAAAAAAACGCCAGCAGTTTAAAATTTTACTTTTCACCAATCTATCAGTTGCCCTGCTAAGTCGTCTAACATTTGTTTTCATTAACACAGCTTGAGGAAATGTGATAATCAGTTTTGATGGCAACATAGCTTTTTTTCATTCAGTTGTTGAATTAAAACCAGGTATTTCAGGTGCTTTAAAAATGTAAACCCTTAAATGACATAATAAAATTTTTAGATATGTTGAAAGAGAAATGAGAATTCAAACTAATGGAAAATACAGTATCAAGTTCTTGCAATTATGAAAGTTACTGTAAGAAATTCACAGTCATATCACTAGCAAACTGAAAGTAACAGTAAATATAAACAATTTGGTGTTCTTTTGTACACTGTCAGCATTTTAAGGTTTCTTTTTTCTTTTATGAATGCTAAAAGTTAAGGAAACAAAGGAGGAACTGGTAGTTTTAATCGATGTTACTGAAGTTGGGGAAAACAAAAGGAAAAAAGTGGCTTACAACTGTTCATTAAAAAATACGCTCCATCTATAACGTTTAGTCCTGTGTTCCCTCAGTGAACAGCTATTAAAATATTTATTGAATCAATTTCTATCTCTGTAATGTGTTCTTATTTTAGTAGGAAAGGCATTCTTACTAGGTAAAATCCAATTTTCATCTTTCATCGGTAACCAGAACACCTTGTTATAGCTTCCTTATCAAACAGTTGTGAGTTTCAGGATGTCCTGAACTACTATTGTGACTGCTGTTCTAGAGTCACAGGAAGGTCAAGGGGGAAAGCATAAGTCTGTTCTAGCAAGTGACAGGTTGCCATTAACTCATAATCTAATTATCATTTAAACAAACAGGGTTAGAAAGCTCTGCTGCTCTGTCAGAAAGTTTTGTTAATTTCTTTTCAGGGGAGATACAGCTATGATGTGCTGGTATGGGAATTCTAAGGAGGATGTACTTATTCATGAAATACTGTGTATGACAGCAATAGGACTGAATTGGACGTTTTTGTTAAAAACTGAAAAATTTAGAACATTGCCTTGGAATCTTATGTCAACTGCAATAGAACAGTAACATGTTTGAGGGGAAATTGGGAGAGAGTGTATTTTGACTATAGTGCATATTTTAAAATCAGAAGTCACTGAAAAAGAGTAAAAAAAAATTCAATCTTATGATTTTTTAATGCTGTATTGTAAAAAGGATTCTAAAATTGTTCTGGATCTTTAAAGTTATTTTACAATTGTTCTTGAAGTGAAGAGGACATTCAGATAGCACAGCAGCAGGTGAAAGATATGAACAAAAATAGTGAGGTGATGACTGGCTTGACTCATATTCACTATGGGCAATAAAGGGAGAATTGGGTAATGTGGTAGAAAAAAAATGTTGGGGAAAAGATTAAAGCTTGACTTGACTGGAGTTTTTCTTTGACAAACTTTTAGGGGAAAAATTTGCACCCAAAGACAGCATTCATTTGAGAAGAATTATAGATTTAGTTTTACTCTGTTATGATGCATGTAAGTTTCTGAAAATAAGGGAGATCTGATTTTTAGGGAAGGTACTTTTTGGCCAAATTACTTGAGGACATAAGATGAAGCAATGGAAGATATATCAAACCCATACAGAAGATAGCTGAATGGAAATTTTATGTGAAGACATTTTCGTATTGAATTTTTGCAAAAGCACACTCTAGGAACTGGAGAGAAAAGTCAGTGGATTCTGGAATTTTATGTGTTAGGTAACATGAAGGTGATAGGAGTGAAATGGAGCATGATTTCACTGTGCAAAGGCTAGATGGTATGTGTTGCCTACTTGGACAATTTATTTATGTAAGGTTTGGCTATTATATATTTAACTGAATTTCTGTGATTTTGTATGTGTATTGATTACTGTACAACTAGATCATTAGTGCTGACAACTTCATCTTTCTATAGCTCTGATTGAATGGTGGCCTGAATGAAATGAACTTATGCCCCAAGAGAGCACTTCATTCGGATATGTTTGTGGAATAAAATTCACATTTGTAATGTCAGAAGTTGTTATTCAGTTGGGAGGTTTTAATGAAATATTGAGAATTGAATATATCTCACTAGCATTAAATTTACTTAAAACTTGTCCTCCATAGTCTGCTATCTTGTATTATTTGTTATTACATGTTGTTCACATGTCATTGTGAACTGTTCATTGTTAGCTGAAAGATGGAGTGGCACAAAGTTGGCATCTGCTACCTGCATTAAATAGCAGAAGTCCAATAGTTCCAAGGATGTGATTAACACTACATTATTTACTCATACATGAATGATACCCAGTTTGCTTTTTCTTTTTTAATAGTAGGGTCTCTCAAAACTCTTGAGATGCTGAAGCAATCTCAGAACTGTTAGTGATTATTTCTAAGAGTTTGCAGAGCTTAGGTGAGGTGCCAGCAACCTGCGAAATTTAATGTTACTTTTTAAAAAGACAGGAAATGGGTGATCCAAGGAATTATGTGGTGGTCCACCTATTGTGGATTCCGAAAGAAATTGATTTCTAAACACCTAGACAATAACAGAGCATGGAGAGATGTGTATTTAAGAACAAACCTACTGATTTTTTCCTGTGACAGCTCATAGGGATAAAGAGTAAGCAAAAGAATTCATGCATGCTAACTTTAACAGGCTTTTGATAGTGGTTTAAATTCTGATATTCAAGAGACAGAAGAGGTATGATGTAAATCAACGGTTGCCAAACATATAGGCATATGGATTTGCTTTCAACCCTCAGTATCTCAGGCCACCAGCCATCATTCCCATCAGACTCTTAAAATCACTAACAGAGTGATAAAGTTCTGTGCATCATTTGCTGATTACTTTTCATGTCCTTATGGAATGTATGTGGAAATCTAGACTGGTCTACTTTAAGTAATTTATGATGATTGCAGAGGAGATGGGGGAAGTATATTTCATGCGAAGCTACCACAGTGTTAAGTTTACAGAATATATCAAAGGCTTTTTCACAACTGTAAAGTGTGTTTAAGGTATTATTAAAAATATTATTTTCTTCCGTTATTTCAATATTTCAGTGAAGTTAAAGGATTAGTAAGAAGCATTCCTGATGCATTTTCTGTAAGTATGAAGGGTCTTGGGCATTTTTAGGCTGAGGTGTACTAATTTGAGTTAGGATTACTGTTTTGGATTGGATCCTACTATTTTGTAGGACAGTAATAATACTACTATATTGAGGAAATGGTGTAAAATAAATCATATGGAATTCAGTGGACATAGGTACAATACTTAGAGAAGAGCTATCAATTATGCACATACAAAATGGGATTGCCTACATAAGCAGTAGTTCCTGCTGCCAACTGCAGTTGTGACCACTCTTGTCACAAACTGAAGTCACCAGTTCTATAGAACCTGTAACATCACACCAGGATGTTTAAGCCTTGTACTGGAAGTTAAGCCTGAAAAACACATGGCACAATCTTCCTTCTCTCTTCAACTTTGATGAGAGCCCAGCTGAAAAAATGTGTCTAACAGTGAATACATGTGGTTCAAAAACACACGAGCCTGAAAGGGATGGAAAAAACCAAGAGGTGCAATTGAAATTGCAAAAAAACAAAACCAAAATTCTGTTAATCATTCCTGATAGTTCTCAGTCATTCCATAAGGTATGATTGAAAACAATTAACCTTTTTAGTATAGCCAAGGGAAGACAGAAACACAGTAAGTGGCATTCTGTCATGTAGAATTATATGTGTATGGCAAGGATGAACACAATCTATTGCCATTCTCTCATTTTAGGGACAAGATGACTTGTAGCAACTTTAAACTGCATCAGCAGAAATTTCTGTTAATACCAGGAAATTTTGCAAATATTTGTTTCTAAAACTAGTGAATGACTGGAATAGGATGTATAGAGATTTTGTAGAATCTACTCCACCATTTTTACAATCACATTAGCAAACATTTGTCAGGAATAGCTGAAGAAGACTGGATCACACCTTGAGGTAGAAGAATAAAATAGACACTGAGATTTTTTTTTTCTGTGGTTGTCTTTGGCTTGTTTTAATAGTATTCATTGCAAAGCAATGTGACTGTAGGTATCTCGAGAAAAAATGATCAGTTTGATATACAACTTAAATTTATTAATGCATTTTGGCTTGTATGGAACCTCATTGCTGACATCAGCATGATTGAGAATTGCTGATAATTACTTGGGTTCTATTTGTCATTTTAGGATGATGTTTCTGTCTCTTCAAAGTTTGGGCAATAACCTTAGATTATCCTAACAGCTTTCACTTCAAAGTAGTACAATACTTTTATGTAATCTTAGCATTATACTTAAGATAAATGTGGTTCTCTTTTAATCAATCTTTTGTATATCTATAAAAAAGGACAACTTAATTGAATATACTGCTGCCTAGAGTACCACTTTCCCTTTTAAAAGTTTGCAATTTATGTTAGT